GTTTTTCTGATCATACTTGTTGGCATGCTATACGTTTAATTAAGGGCAATCCATATTTTACTTACTGAGTTATCTCATAGTTTTTCCTTGTCCACCATTTCAGGAAGCGAAACCGAGGACGGGGAAACCACGAGAAGTGACGAGTTAGAAAGCTAGCCATTTCGAGATTGATATAGATTTTAGAAATAAATCATGCTTTTGTAAGATAGATTTTACCTTGAATTTATGAGATCAAAACAAATTTCGGTCATTAGATCAATTACTTGGATTTAAGTCATTTTGGACATAGAAATAAATTGAGATGTTTGATTTAAGTTATTGGATTGTCAGATGTGAATTGGATAAGTTCCGAGCCTTATGCATTTGTGGGACCTTCTCAAGAGTGCACGACGTCTGTCGCGCCTCAAATTTGGGTTTTGGGGTGTGACATATAAAGTGTCAAACATGAGATATGACTATTATTATCTTCTCTAATCCAATTCAATCCTATCCTATTAATTTTATTCGGTCCAATCCTATCCTAAGCCACATTCCAAACAAGCCCTTAAAGGCTAAATGGTAAATAAAATTCAAAACCAATAGCATCCAGGATGAATAGCAGCAACACAAAATATCACCTTTTTTTTTTTTTGGAACACAGGGAAATTGGGGGAATGGGGGAACTTTTCAAGTCATTGGTAAGAGTAGAACTCTTGACCAATGGAACCCAAGCACTTAGGCTTGGGGATGAATCATTAGACCTGATGGGCTAGTTTGACACACAGTATCACCATGGACACTTGAATATAACAGAAACACATAAAACTTGCATTAACTACTTTCCCAATTGCTATTACACTTTATTTAACTGAATCTCATAACAATAAGGAATCTATATTATTTATTGCAAGCCCAGACTAACACAAGGTCTTGGTGAGTGCACAGAGAAAGGAGAGAGAAAAAATGGGAAACTTGGTTTGGGACGTTATATGATGCAACTAGTAGAAAAATGAGAACTAACACAAATAGAACTTATAGTAAATTGAGATTGCTAAACAAATTCAAGTGCTTGACCTTATTGAAATAGACTGTTAGATAAATAGAACTTACAATAAATTTAGGTTGTTACACAATTTTCTTAATGGAATAGTTTACATTCTTGATAAATGAATTGCCTGTCCTCGAGGAATGTGACCTGAAAACAATAATAGAATATCTAATGAAAACATGAAAAGAAAATTTTCCATCAGGCACAACTTTCTTTTTCTTAGCTTCTCATCAGATATAAGAAATAATTCATAAGAAAATGCAATATCAATGACAATAATAGTTAAAGACATTTTTCATGTTTCAACTCAATAATAACTCTCACCCTTTGACTACAAAAGAAGTACCCGAATATCAGAGCCATCAAAACAAGCAATTACTTTAGCTACAACAATAGAAACCTTTGCTGAGGATGTAATTAATATGAGGTCATCGCTCTCTTAGCTTCATAGACTCTCAATTTTAGGATGCTTGTAGGATATACCATTTGGAAGAAAAATACCCATTGATGAGCTTACAGAAAGAACAACAAATTTAACTCCAATTCATCTTGGCAAAAAAAGATCAAATTGAATGATATCTACTCTCTATTGTATGACCTAAACTGACTAGCCATGCATACATTACATACACCTCAAAAAAGTTCACGAATGAGACATATATGATTCACTATTAACCCCCTTCAATATACCCAACTAAGAACTTACGTATGTTAATGCTAACCTACATATTTTGTTTATAGAGATTCTGATTTCAACCTTGTCATATACAGCAAATAAATATCTAAAATTTTGGTGATGGCTATGAATCATATCACTAACCAAACAATAAAACTCGAATTTGACGATGGCTGGAGAGCGGGCCTCCAAAGAGTAGAGGATTTTGGGTTTGTCTAGCACATCCATTAGATGTGTTCGCTTTGTGAAAAATGATGATTTCATCCTTCTATTCATGAAGAATTTCTATACAATGTATATAAGTTCGATAGTGCCTGAATAAGGCAACCTATGGAAGTCTAAAACTAGACAGTAAAATGCAATAATGGCCAAATAAAATAAGGAAAGTCAAGGCATCCTAATAGCTAAATGAAGATTTTGCACAATATTACCGTTGGGTGCAATTTGCATTGGTGACAGTCTCTAACATCCTCCTCAAGTTGGAGCATGTAAATTTGTAATGCCCAACTTGTGGAATAAAAATTGGAATCAATCTCCTCCTAGTGCTTTTGTGAAGATATCAGCTAGTTGAAGTTTAGAACAGATGTAGGAATTGTTAATTACACTTGGTTGAATCCAATCTCGAATAAATGAAAGCCCACTTCAATATCCTTTTTTTGTTCATGGAAGATTGGGTTAGTGGCGATGTGAATTGTAGCTTGATTATCACCATGTAGTTGCATGGGTTGAGGGTGGTGAACTCCCAATATTCAAAATAGGGATTTAAGCCATAGAAGTTCACTAATAGTAGAAGCCATAGCTCAATATTTAGCTTCAGTTGATGATTTTGAAACAATGTATTACTTTTTAGTTTTCCATGAAATAGGTGAGGGGCCAAGCATGGTAATGTATCCTATAGTTGATCTTCAAGTCATCAAACAGCTGGCTTAATTTGAATCACAATATTTTGATAGCTGTAAATGGCTTGAGGAAGGAAGAAAGATACCTTGCCTTGGTGAAGATTTTAAGTATCTTTAGATACGTGTTGCCACATTGAGATGTGGTTGTTGAGGAGCTTACATGAATTGACTTAGAGTGTGAACCGCCTAAGAGATTTTAGGATGTGTTATAATCAAGTATATAAGGTGTCTAACTAGTTGTCTATACTGTGTGTGGTCTGAAAGGGAGGCCCAACACCAGAGGTGAGTTTAGGCTTTTGGTCCATGGGAAATGAACATGGCTTGGCACCAAGCATTCCAAAGTCATGCAAGATATCAAGTGTGCATTTTTGTTGGCAAAGGAAAATTCTTGTGGGGTGTCAAGTGACTTCAATACCAAGAAAATATTTGAATTTGCCAAGGTCTTTGATGTGAAATTGGGCATTGAGAAAATCCTTCAATTGTTGATGAAGAGATGAATTATTTCCTATAACAATTAGATTGTCAACATATACTAGTACGGCAAGGAAATTATTCTTATGATAATAAGTGAAAGGGGAATAGTCAAATGTAGGCTGCTTGAATCCAAAAAGTCTTAAAGTAGAAGAAAATTTGGCAAACCAATTGCATGAAGCTTGTTTTAGTCCATAAAGGGATTTTCTTAAGCAACAAACTCATTTTTCTCCTTGATTCCCATAGCCAAGTGGTAATTGTGTGTATACTTCTTCATCAAGGCCACCAAGAAGGAAGGCATTATGGACATCCAATTGATGTAAATGGAAAGTAGGCAACGAACATTAACAAGTTTAACAAACAGGGGAAAAGTGTCATGGTAATCTAGTCCTACAACCTGGGTGAATCCTTTTGTGGCAAGATGGGCTTTGTATTGTTCAATGGTGTCATCTACTTTATATTTTATTTTATAGACCCATTACCAACCTATGGGTCATTTTTTAGGAGGCAAAATCTCAAAGGTCCAAGTGTTGTTGTTTTCAAGGGCATCGATCTCATCTTTCATTGTCTTTCTCCATCTTGAGTCTTGAAGCGCTTATGAATAAGATTTTGGCTCATCTTCAGTGGAGATGGTCACTAAGAAAATATGATGAGATAGGTTAAATTTATGATAAGAAATAAAATGTGAAATTGAATATGGTGCACTTGACTGTTTTATGTTGGGAAAAAATGACACAACGGAATAAACTAATTCCTGTAAACAAAACACGTGAACAATTGCAAATAGTAGTGAAATAGGCGGCTTAGCTGACTAATATTAACGATTAGTGAAAAAGGCAATGTAGCCGCCAAGCAAAATAAAATGGGTGGTTTAACTAGCCACTTAAGAAAAAAAGGAATAATAAATAAAAAGACAACACCAAATTTTACATGGAAAAACCCCAAAAGCTATTGAGGAAAAAAACAACGGGACAAACTCTGAAGGGTATTCTATTATATGATAAAATTGTACAGAGTATACACTCAAGTATTTTCTCTCTTGATGTTTCCCACTCCCCCAGGATATGATCACAATTATGATAAACTCACAATTTTATCACTCAATGTACTCTCTCTATGTAGCACACTCACACCTAAACTTAATGCCTAGCTCTCACCCCTTTTTTTCTTTCACCCAAAGCTCTCTCTTTGGAACTCTCTCACTCACTTTGGTATTGCTCTTGCTTCTTTCCTGCTTGCAATTGCCTTGCAATTGCATGGGCATTTATAGGGTAAAAACCCAACCACCAATGCATGATTTTCTTCCCTCATTAAATGAGAAAGCTTGCAATAATTGAATTTACCATGCAAACATTCAACAAGAGTTGCCATAGGTGCAGCCTTTTAACTATGGGGTGAGAATTTTGCCACGTGGAAAAGTCCATGTGTTCACATGGGCCGGAAATTACTGCCAACAATCTCCCCTTCCAACCACATGGGAGGAGACGCAAATCTCGACTCCTTTACTTGGTGTCCATCCCGACCAACTCAATGCAATATTCAAACTTTTCCTTGGGAAGAACTTTTTTCATCATATTACCAACATATAACAGAAGGATAATGAAGTTGCCATCAAGGAATGATTTGATGTAAACACATGGATCTACATTTGTTCTTTTATAGCCATGACATGTCATAAAAAAGTTAAACTTCTTGTACCATTGTCTTGGAGCTTGCTTTAGTCCACACAAGCTTTTCTTCAACTTGCAAACTAGATGCTCCTTCCCTTTTTCTTCAAAACCTTTTGGTTGATCCATATAAATTTCCTCATGCAAGTCACCATGGAGAAATGCAATTTTCACATCTAACTACTCTAGCTCAAGATTCCTGCTTCCTACTAGGCCGAGAACAACTTGAATCAAGCTCATCTTCACCATTGGGGAAAAATTTCATCAAAATCTATCCCCTTTTTTTTACTGAAGCCCTTTACCACTAGCCGAGCCTTATATCTAACTATTTTGTCACCATCTTTCTTAAGCTTGAAGACCCACTTGTTCTTCAGGGGTTTTCTTCCTTTGGGAAGTGTCACAAGCTCATAAGTATTGTTCTTATGTAGGGAGTTCATTTCTTCTTGCATGGCTTTCATCCAACCATTTTTGTCTTTGTAAGATTGGACCTCCTGGAAGTTCTTTGGCTCCCCTTCTTTGGTGATCAAGATATAATCAGAACTGATGTATCTTGCAGATGATTTGTGCTTTCTGGTGGACCTTCTCAATTGAGGTCCTTCCTCCTGTGGTAGGGGTTGCTCCCCCTGTTTATTACTTCCTCTATTTACACTTACTTCATCTTCTTCAATTGTTGGCTCCTCTGTCTCATCTTTCGATACTTGCACCTCTTCTCCACTTATAATTTTTCTTCAAGGACTTTTTGTCGATGTTAGATCTTTTACACCCTCTTTAGAGCTTATTGTAGCTTTTTTTTCCTTCAAATCATTAATTTTCTCGTGTTCATGAAACATGACATCTGTATTTTTGACAATTTTCTTCCTTTCTAGGTCCCATAATCTGTAGCCAACTCCTCATCACCATATCCAACAAAAATGAATGGAATGGCTTCATCATCTAGCTTTGATCTCTATTCCTTTGGCACGTGTGTAAATGCTTTACACTTTAACATGCTCAAATAAGAGTATCCAACTTCCTTTATGTCCAAGCTTTCTCTAGGATTTCAAAGTCAAAGGAACTAAAGGCAACTGATTGATCAAATACACTGTTGTGTTGATTGCTTCACCCCATAATGGCTTAGGTAGAGTTGTCATTTTTAACAGGCATCGGACTTACTCCACAATGGTATGATTCATCCGTTTTGCAACGCCATTGTGTTGTGGAGTGTCAGGAACTATCTTCTCATGCCTTATGCCATGCTTGGAATAGTAGTCTTTGAATTCTTTAGAGGTGTATTCCCCTCTATTATCTGTACGAAGACATTTCAGCTTCAAACTTGTCTCCCTTTCCAACATAGCATAGTAATACTAAAAATATTTGAAAACTTGGCTTTTATTCTACAACAAGTATACCCAAGTCTTTGGAGTTGCATCATCAATAAAGGTAATAAAATATTTATTGCCACTAAATGACTCCACCTCCAGAGGACCACAAACGTCAAAGTAGATCAAGTCTAGCTTATTCTCCTTCTGAATCAAATTCTTTTGAAAAGAAACTTGATGTTGCTTTCCAAATAGGCAAACATAACAAGGATTCACATGTTCACCTTTGGCAATGGGAATAAAAGACTCCTTAGCCAAAAGTTGCGATCCTTTCTCGCTCATGCGAGTTAATCTTTTATGCCATAAATTTGGAGAAGCATCATCTTCAACTATGTTTAGTTGACCTCCACACATTTTCATGTGTGTCTTGTATAATGAGCAGCATGCTCTCCCTTTTGCCACCACCATTGATCCTTTGATAAGTTTCCAATTGCCATTCCCGAAGTAGTGTGCGTATCCTTCTTCATCTAGTGCTTTTGTAGATAACAAGTTCATATGCATATCGACAATATGTTGCACATTTTTTAGTGTCAATGTGCACCCAACATTTGTTTGGACATAAATATCACCAACTCCCATAATATGAGAAACACTCTTGTTTCCCATTTTTATGGTGCCAAAGTCTCCTACTTTGTATGTTGAAAAATATTCCCTTCTGGGAACATAGTGCTAAGAGGCACCAGAATCAATTATCCACTCAGCATCTGAGTTTTCTACTTGGCAACACTCTCCACGATCACAAACTAGAGTGACATCATCGCCACTGGTCGATGCTATAGCGATAGTATTGCTATCATCAACTTCTTTCTTGTTTTTTCCTTTTAGCAAGTTGCAATTCCTTTTCATGTGACCTGGCTGGCCACAATGATCGCACTTTACTCTACTTTTGGACTTTGATCTGGATCTGCCTCCTTGTCCTCTGGGTTCTCTAGTTTTGCTCCTACCTCTGTTCTCTGTGACAGGAGCTTGAGTATCTAGCTATGAGAAGATTCCCAATGCCCTCATCCTTTTTTCCTCTTCAAAGATCCTATTTTTGGTGATTTCCAGTGTGACTTTACCATCGAGAGATGAATTGATTGTTGTTGATCTAAAACTCTCCCATGATTCCGGCAAGGTATTGAGAAGAATCAAACCATTCACCTCATCATCAAATTCTATACCCAAATTTGCTAGCTCCTTGATGATGCCAAGAAAATCATTAACATGGTCTACTGTGAGAGTGCCATCTTTGTACCTTGAGTACATTAATTGCTTTATATAGCACAATTTATTCTGCCCAGTCTTCGCCCAGAAAAGCTATTCTAGCTTTGTCCATAGTGTGCGTGCATTAGTTTCATCATTGATATGTTTTAGCACACTATCATCAATCTACCACCGAATAAATCTGCACACTCGCCTATGGAGCAATCTCCATTCTTCATTCTTCATGCTATCTAGCTTTCGCTCTAAAAAGACAAGCTCATGAAATTCCTTCACATAAAGAAGGTCTTCCATTTTGCCTTCCATAGTTGATAGTTTGTACTATTTAGTGTAATCATTTTGCTCTGATTCACCTCCATTGTTTACGTAAATATTAGCAGCTCCTAGTTCTAATACCAATTGTTAGGAAAAAATGGCGTAACAGAGTAAACTAATTCCTGTGAACAAAACATGTGAACAATAACAAATAATGGTGAAACAGGTGGCTTAACCAACCAATATTAACAGTTAGTGAAAAAGGCAACATAGCTAGCCAAGCAAAATAAAATGGGTGGTTTAACCAGCCACTTAAGAAGAAAATAAAATATAAAATGAAATGGGTGGTTTAACTAGCCACTTCAGAAAAAGAAAAAAAGGAAAAATAAATAGAAAGACAAGACCAAATTTTATGTGTAAAAACCCCCAAAACTATTGAGGGAAAAACCACGGGACAAACTCTGAAGGGTATTCCACTATGTGATTAAATCATACTAAGTATACACTCAAATATTTTTCTCTCTTAGTGTTTTCCCACTCCCCTAGGATATGATCACAATCATGATAAACTCACAATTTTATCACTCAATGTACTCTTTTTATGGAGTACACTCACATCGAAACTTAACGCCTAGCTCTCACCTCTTTTTTTTCTTTCACCTAGAGCTCTCTCTTTGGAACACTCTCACTTACTTTGGTATTGCTCTTGCTTCTTTCTTGTTTGCAATTGCCTTGCCATTGCATGGGTATTTATAAGGTAAAAACCCAACCACCCATGCATGATTTTCTTCCCTCATTAAATGTGTAAGCTTGCAATAGTTGAATTTACCATGCAAACATTCAACAAGAGCTGCCATAGGTGCAGCCTTTTAACTATAGGGTGAGAAATTTACCACATGGAAAAGTCCATGTGTTCACATGGGTTGGAAATTTCTGCCAACATTTTAGACCTTGATCTCTTGTCACTTGTACTCCATTAAGAATGTAATCATTCAAATATTGTGGGATTTTCTTCTCGCGATGTGGTCCGAATATTTTTCTTGGCCATTTTCATTGTTGTTTCTGATATCCGTTTCATTATTTAGTGTAGCATCAACAGTATCATTGTTGCTTGGTCCAGCAGTGTCTGTTGGAAAGCTATTGCTAAGTGCAGCGTCGTCATGTGCAACATGAGGTGATGGCATATGTGCACCATTTGGTGCAACATTGCTATTTGTTGCAAGATTAGGTGATTTCACGTGGCTACCATTTTGGGGTCCTTGCAATAATGGGTCATCCTCCATTTTACAATTAATTGGATCAATGCCAATTGGTTTTGCTTGTTTTTAAGTAATGGGCTCTTGTAATGGGAAACATCTTCGTAAAAGATTACATCACGTGAAACAAAAATTTTTAGTTTCAAGATCAAAGAGTCGATAACCTTTCTTACCATGAGGGTAACAAATAAATATGCATTTTTATAGACTGAAGATAAAACTTACTTGTAGTTTGCAAAAAAATCTTTTGCATAACAAGGACAACCAAAAACTTTAAGATAATTATTTGGTGGTGTCTTACCAAAAAGAAGCTCAAAAGGTGTTTTACCATCAAGTAGTGGTGTTGGTACGTAGTTGATGAGGTAGGCGGTGGTGAGGATTATGCATTCTCCCCAAAATGAAATTGGTAAGTTAGCTTGAAAATGTAAAGCTTTTGCAACATTCAAAAGGTGCGATGCTTTCATTCTATGACTCTATTTTATTGTGGTGTTCTAACAGAAGATGTTTGATGTACTGTTCCATGCTCATTAAAGATTAGAAAGAAATTCTTGTACATTATCGGACCTTATTTGTTTAACGCAAAAACCAAATTAGGTCTTGATCATTTTATTAAACATAATTAAAAATTTATAAGTTTCAAATTTGTATTTCAAAAGAAACACAGATGTGGCATGAGTATACTCATCAACTATAGTGAGAAAATAATGTACCCTAAAATGGGATGAAGTTTGATGCCTTCCCCAAATATCACAATGAATTAAAATAAAATATGATTCTGCTCTTTCTTTAGTAAGAGCAAAAGTGTTTCTTGTTTGTTTAGCTTGATGGCAAGCATCCCGACATTCAAGAAAAGATGTAAGATCAAAGGAAATACTTTTAGATAATAAAGAAAGACGATGAAAGAGACAACCTATCCATTGATGCCAAAGTTCGATTGAAGGTGAGACAGTAGTATTAAAAATTTGTGTCCTCTTTATCAGCTTGAAGTAACAAAGCCCATTATTCATTTCATGCGCATTCCAGTAACTTCTTAGTAGTGAGATCCTATAAGACACAAAATGTTGGTAAGAATATTATGGTACAATTGAAGTTTCTAGTTAACTTGCTCATAGATATTAAATTGCATCTAAACTCAAGTATGAATAAAACATTATCAATAGTGATTTTAGACGCTAAAGAAACTTGTCCAATGCCATGTATAGGGACAAGTTCGCATTTGGAATATTTGCATAATTGTGAAATCCTTTAAGCTTGTTTTTATCACTAGTAACATGATCGGAAGCGCCACTATCTAAAATCCAATCAGTCAAGTTCATTAATTTCTTACTAGAGATATCATCAAGAGACGAGATGAATACAAATTGAAGAATTTCTTACTGGAATCTTGACTAGCTTGAGCAATAGAAAAATTGGATTGACGCATGCTTTCAGTGAAGCTGCTAGAAATTCTAGCTGATTTATCTACAGAGATGGTGCCGAAGATACTTGGGCAATGAAAAAAAATGAGGATAAAATTCACTCTGATAACATGTGAAAAGTAATGATCCCATCTATCTATTCATGAAGAATTTCTATAGAATATATACAAGTTCAATAGTGACCGAATAAGACAACCTACGGAAGTCTAAAACTAAACGATGATACAATAATGGCCAAATAAAATAAGGAAAGTCAAGGCATCCTAACAGCTAAATGAAGATTTTGCGCAATATGACCGTTGGGTGCAATTTGTGCAGATGACAATCTCTAACACTTCCATACTAATCGGAGAAATATGGTGAAAGGAGAAGTTTGGGGTCTCATATTAAGAAATTTTCATTTTTATTCAATAGAAGGCACCGTTCCAAACCAAACCAAAGGAAGAGAGAAATATGATATGAAGAGACAAATCAACAGAAATTACAGTAAGAAAATACATGAGAACTGTGGGCAAAGCAGATAGATCAAATTCAAAAGAAAACAACACAAATTCATACAATACTCAAAGTAGATGGATGTTGCAACTATATATCAACAACAAACATATGAAAGATGTAAACAAACAAACTCAAGAAACAATGCGAAACAAAGTTTATATTTGCACACATTATTTGTTGCCCGAACTTCTGGAAGTAGGAAGTCAGATACACTTGCTTGCACCTATATAAAACAAAACAAAATTAGAAAAATTATGTCTCAATATTATGTAAAAATAATATATAGAGAGTTTTAGAAACTTACCCACCTAAGAGCGTTGGATGGGTATTTGGGTTTTTCTCTTCTTACACCTACAGTTGCACCTTCCAACAAATTTCTCTTGATATTTCTCCACCTTCTTCACCACCCACCATGGTTTTGCTGTTGTGAATGCAATGTATCCCATAGTAAGTCCCAACACTAGTCCACACCCATAGCCTGCCAATGCAAACTTCCAATTAAAGAGTATGGGGGAGTCATCTTCTTTATCAAATTTTGATGGGGGTGCTCTTGGTTCTTCCTTGTTGTGGCATTTCTTTGTCAATGGTAATCCACACAACCCAGGGTTCCCAATGTAGGAATCATTTGAGAAAGTATTGAACTGCCTCCCTTGAGGAATATTGCCCACAAGTTCATTGTGCGAGAGATTCAAAATTGAAAGGAATGTCAAATTTGTCAATTGCTCAGGAATCCTACCATCAAGCTTGTTTGATGAGAGATCTAGTGATTCAAGTCCTGCCATTTTCCCCAAGGATGATGGAATATGACCAATGAGACGGTTGTGAGACAAGTTTAGTGATAAAAGTGAATTTAGTTCTCCTAGCTCTTCAGGAATCAGTCCATGAAATTGATTGCTTGAGAAATCAAAAGTCGTGAACATTGTCAAGATCCTTACAAGCTCCACCTCTAAACCCTTCAAAACTACCTTCACAGAATCCTCATAATAAATTAAAGAATCACCAATATATTCCAATTTGGCTTCATCTCCATGTACATTTGTACTACCTTTCAAAATTTTGAAATAGTTACTGGGTAGGAGACCCATGAAATCATTTTGCGAGACATCAATGATTCTCAACTCAGGGAAGTAAAATGCTGGCATAGAATTGCTAATGGCACCATGAAATTGATTAGATTGAAGGATGAGAACTTGTAGTCTTGGAAGAACACCTAACCAATGTGGAAAGGTGTCATACAAGTAGTTGTTCCCCACATCTAGAACTTCCAAGGAACTACAATTAACCAAAGATGATGGCAATCCCCTTTCCAACTGGTTTCCATTTAGGTTAAGGGTTCTCAACCAACTATTATTGACAAATAAATTTGGGATTCTACCATGAAACTGATTGAACCGCAGATCCAAGACAGAGAGATCTTTAAAGTCTCCAAAACATTTTGGAATTTTACCTCCCAAACTATTAGTAGCCAAGTCCAGAACTATAAAAGAAGTGAAATTGCAATAAGAAGATGGGATTTCACCAGTCAAATTATTCCCTGAAATGAAGAGAATTTGCAAATACCAAGCTGTTGATAGAATGGGAAGTGATCCTTGCAGTAAGTTGGAACTAAGATCAACTACGCAAAGATATTCAAAAGCAAATAAATCTATGCCAGTCAAGAAGTTATAAGAAAGGTCTAAATTGACCACTGACATCCCCTCTATTTCCCATTTGTGAATTTGACCAAAAATCTTGTTCTTGGAAAGATCCAATAATGGCAAAAATGCTACCTTCCTTAAGAAACTTGGGAACTTGTGTATGTTGCAAGAGGAGAATCTTAAAGACACAAGGTTAGAGAAGGCAGGGAGGGTATAGTTGACAACAGTGTCATTATTGGTCAAAGATAGCAAACTATTTTTGGAAACATCAAGGTTCACAAGGTTTACAAGCTTTGCAAGCATGTTAGGGGTAATGGTGCCACTTAAATTATTTGAAGAAAGGTCGATTTTTCTAAGACTCACAAGATCAAAGAATGAGCTAGGGATTGAACCACTTATCTCATTGTTAGACAAATAGACTTCTTCTAAAATGAGATTAGGCATCTCAATATGAGCAATAGGACCTGTAAGTTTGTTGTTTCTGAGATCTAAATAGTATAAAGAAGGCAATGAAAACAACCAAGATGGTACTTGACCTGTGATAAGATTATTATCCATATAAAAATGAGGTAGAGATGAGAGTCCACTAATATTGTGAGGAAGAGGCCCTATTAGCTTATTTGATGACAATGACAAAAAAGTAAGATGGGTGAGGTTGAAGATTGATGCAGGCATTTCACCACCAAAATTGTTTGCACTAAACCTCAAATTAGTTAGCTTGTGCATTTTTTCAAAAACATCTGGAATCTGCCCTTGCAAATGGTTGAAAGAAAAATCTAGGGAGGTTATGTATGTAAGATTTGGAAGAGATCTAGGAATTGATCCATAAAATTGGCAACAAAAAATGTCTAATTCCTCCAAGAGTTTAAGATTTCCGATTGAATGAGGCAACTCTCCTGAGAAGCTTGTGTTTCTGAGAGACAAATACTTGAGAGGACTACTCCAATTTGACTCAGGCAAATTACCTCCTAAATCAGAGTTTTGTCTTAAATCAAGAAGCTGGAGAGATGGAAGTTGAAAAACTTCTCTTGGCAAGTTTCCTTGCAAACTACAATCTCCAAGGCTCAATTGCTCCAAAGAGGAAGTCAAGTTCAGCAGAGAAGAAGGCACAACCAAAGACATATTCACAAAATCAAGGAAAAGAAATCTTAATTCTGTCAAGTTATGCACAAGCAATTGAAACTTTGTGTTGTCAAGAAGCAAATCATGATTATTTGAGAGATCGAGTGAAACCAATTTTGATAGCAAGGAGATCTCAAACAGGAGGGAGCTATGGATTAATCCTGTGTCTGCAAGATTAAGACATGTTAAATTAGAGTAAGGAAGACCAATTCTATTAAAAAGGAGATTTTTCAATCAAATAAAGTCACTGTATTCGCACCTGTGAGGTTAAGATATATCAAACTCTTCCAACTTTGAAACCCAAATGAAATGTTGGGGTAACTAAAATAGTTTCCACCAAGGTTGAGACTCTGCAGTTTCTTGAGGAGGAAAAGACTGCTATTTGAAGTTATATTGGCAGCAATACAATTCTCACTAAGATTAAGGCCAACCACATGACCTGTCATCTTGTTGCATGTGATGCCCTCCCACAAGCAGCAGTCTATACTTTCGTTCCAACTTTGTATTGTATAACGAACATATCCAGTACAGTTTCTCACAAAAATAGTGGTCTTGAAATCAAGCAACGCAAAGTGCTCTTGTGGACGGCACAAATGTGCTGGTGAATTGGGAGAAAGTGATGAGCATTGGGCATGAAAATGTAACAAAATGAAGCAAAGGCAAAGGATTTGGGAAAACCATATTAACCTTCCCATCTTTCTTAGAAGGAGGAAAAGAAATTCAATCGGCCAAACAATAGAAAGTAGGTAGATTGAAAGCTGAGACGCAGGACACCAATATTTATAGCCTTTCAAATTCCTTTGCGGCAACTTTATTTAACACGGTAAAAGTCAATAAGTTTGCAAAAAAACTTTAGGGTGCGGTTGGGATTGTGATTAAGAGTTTTTTTTTTTTTTTTATAATCGTACAATGTTTTTAAATAAATGTGTTCGGTAATTTTTTTTTAAGATTTTTTTTCTAAAAATTATATAAGGCCACAACAGATTTACAGTAATTTTGTATATAAAATCAGAAACATTATTTTTGAGTTTTTCAACTATGCCTTTCATGAACAACAATTAATATTTAATATAATTGTAAAATTATTCATTAAAACCAAATTTTGTTTGATTCAATTACATCATAATTTATAATATTTTATTTAAACTTAACCTATTGTTTATTTGAAGATTTTATTAAAAAAAATTAAAAAGCTCATTCCCTCCTTATGAGTTGCTCTTTGACAAAATCCAAAAAACATCCACCATAGAAAACCTAAAATAATATTTTTAAAAAATAAATAACCAAACACTAAAACAACTTTCAACTATAGTTACAGCACAGTGCAATTCAACATAGCCACAACTACAATTATAGTCCTAGCACCTCACAATAATTCTAAATGCACCTCACAATGTTATTGTCATCACCGTTGGGTATGGGTTCAAGGAGAGGGCTTACAATTACAAGGCGGGAGAAGATCTCGAGCAATTTTTTCCTTTTTTTTTTTCTAATAAATCATATAGTTCTTAGGTACTATGTGAACACATATTTTTTAAATAATTTCTATATGTTATTAAATAAATAGATACATATTATACAACAAACTATACTATATTATACAACCTTTTTATACTATATATATATATTACATATAGACTACTAAATGAAAAGAATAAATTATTAAATAATACTTAAAATTATACAAAAAAAA